CGAGCTCAAACTTAAGCTCGGGTCGAGCTCAAACTTAAGCTCGGGTCGAGCTCAAACTTAAGCTCGGGTCGAGCTCAAACTTAAGCTCGGGTCGAGCTCAAACTTAAGCTCGGGTCGAGCTCAAACTTAAGCTCGGGTCGAGCTCAAACTTAAGCTCGGGTCGAGCTCAAACTTAAGCTCGGGTCGAGCTCAAACTTAAGCTCGGGTCGAGCTCAAACTTAAGCTCGGGTCGAGCTCAAATGACATACTTGAACTCGGCTTGAGGCGAACGATGTGAGCTAACGAGTAGCTCATGAGGCATAAGCTATCTTTTTGTTCCACCTCATCATCTTTCTCACAAATAGAACAAAAAAAATTGCAAAATCATTTTTCTCATGAAGGGCAAACCAGAAGTAATCTTGCAAAATCATTTTTATACCTTTGCAAAATGAATGAAGTTCTTAAGATATAAGAAAGAGATGAAATACCCAGAGAAAATTTTCAATCACCCAAGTTCTCGTAGTCGCCGCCCCTCCTCACGCTCACAAACCATAGTAAAAAGCCAGAGTTTGCAAGAGCAAAAGAAAACTAAAATGCGAATGGTGGTTAAGTTTGAAATAAAATAATAGAAACCTTATAACCTTAGACCATCTCACAGTCTCACATCTCACGCTCACCTCGGAACCATGGGCCGCGAACCGACTTCCGCCTTCCGCAGTTCTTCATACTCATGTTTCGAGCGGCTCGTCGAGTATTCAAGCCGAGTTTCTTTCAGATCAAACTCGGGCTCGAAATTCTAGCGAGCTCAAAATATGCTCAAACTCGAAACTCGACTTGTAAGCTCGTTAACGAGTCGTCTTGACTCGTTTGCACCGGTAGTTGGAAATTTTTTTACAATATTTTCTATGAATGATTTTTTTCCCCCACAAAATGGGGAATTTCTCTCTTTCACTTTCTTAACTCTAAAATATATACACAAGCTTTTCATTTACTTATTAGTTTTGTAAGATTTGGCCTCTACTTATATACCTGTGTTTTTATTTTATTTTTCTACTATAAATGCTGTCTTCTCAGAAATTGTGTGTAGATTGAGGGTGCCATTTGACGTTGTTTGTATATGGCTTGATGCTTGACATTTTACCCACTGCCATTTTTTTTTTTAGAGTAAAAACATTACTTAAGTAAATGGGCTTGTTTGAGACACTTCTTTTAAAGAAGTTCACGTGTGGGTTTTGTTATATTAATATTTTTTGTTTCATTATATTTTGGTTTCATTAAATTGTGCTTGTTGTGTGATGAGTCACATTTTATTATTATTTTTTTGATACATAATAATAGCGGTTTAAACCGTTGCTATTATAAAAAAATGCAGCGATTTAAACCCTACTATTGTATAGATTAGCAGTTGTAATAATCTTTGCTAGAGCTATCCTATAACAACTTTCCTACAACATTTTCAAAAGCTTTTTGAAGAAATGCAAACACCACAGATGTGCAGTGATTAATTAATAAACCGTTAGAATTAAATTAGTAGGATTTTAAACCGATGTTATTGCTTAAAAAAGGTGCTGCTATAACTATAAATAATAGTAGAGACCATTTGCCAACTGACATCATCAGACCTCTACTACTACTCCCATAATATCTGATACAATTACAAACCACCAATTAAACTCTCCTTCCTTATAATCTCTTCTTCTTCAATCATGGAGATGAGCAAACTTTTATTTATTTATTTTTTTTAACAACAAAAACAAACTGTATTCAATAAAAAAGGAGGGTTACAACAACTAAAACCAACAACTGGTGGTACAAAACAATAAGACCATAAAAACCAGATAAAGAAGGAGAAGTAGAGAAAATGGACTCAAGAATGGAGGCCCCCTACACTAAACACGGACCATCCATAGGTGCCAGTTATAGGAACAGAATCTAGAGGCCACCAAGCAACAGAAAGAGGCACCCAGGTTGTAAAGGCCATTTTGCTCCCAGGTTCGTCAGGACGAAGTCGGATCGTCCGGGACGATCGGTACAGGTTGTGCAGGAAAACATGTTTGGCTGCATGGTTCGTCTGGACGAAAGTCGGATCGTCTGGACTAAAATTTTACAGAGCCAAGTCGTCCAGGGACGGTAATTAATCTCGTCTAGACGAAATTCGTCCAGAGCCAAATCATCTCGGGACGAAGTTGCGATCGTCCGGGACGATCAGTCTGGATATATATAGAAATGAGATATTTTGAAGAGAGAGAAAAGCTCAGGAGAAAGAAAAATGAAGGAAAAAGAAGGAAAAGTGATTTTTGGGCGACTCCCGTCCGTTTTCGTCCGTTGCAGTAGTTCAAGAAATTGGTGTACGCAAGGTAAGACGCATTCCGCCTTTCTCAATTTTCAGAATGGTGAAGTTTGAACGGTTTTTCTGTCCGGATTTCGTTTTCGTTAGCGAATTTCGTCCGTATAACACGATTGGTTCAGTTTTTAC